AAGAAAATGTTTTGTACATACGCCAAGGCTGAAGAAAGGTAGATCGTAGACAACAGGTTACCGAAAACGTGTGCGCTTGATGCAAGTATCAAAAAGATGATACTATTGTGATGATTAAATGTAATTGGCAATAATTTACTTTGATTATCATTATAATCATCATTATCTAATGGAAGTTCATCTTTTCCTGCATCTTGGTGATTCTTTGTACTAATATAGATGCGCACAAACTCAATAACCAAAGCATAATCCATGCATAATCCTAAAAAGCGAATTATTATTTTTTTTTTTTTAAAAAAAAAAAGCAACAGAATAACGTGTCTGTAAAACACTAACCTTGAATTTTAAAAAAGAGAGCATCTATCGGAAAATTACTAAAGATGCAAATACCGGCAACGGATACGATATAAATTAGCATCCACACAAAATATGAAACGTTTGTTAATCTACCACCACTTCCAATCAAGAGTAAAATAATGATTTCAATAGTGTTATGAAATAATCCAATAGCACTCCATAACTTTCCTATATCAAATATTACACCTGCAATTGCTGTAATGGATGTAATCAAAGTGTAAGTTACAAGTGAACGATTGAAACCAATTGTTGACACTTCGGAAATAACGCTTTCTTGGTTATCATCGGAAACGGTGTAAAATTTAGTGATAAGGCTGGGCTTTGTCGGTGGATTGAGAACTAGTTTCAAGCCAATCAAACCAACCACGAGCATTATAACAGCTATGAAAGTGCCCATTGTGTCATTTTTCTGTCTATCAAATCCTATTAATGAATGATAATTATGTTAATTTTTAAGCCTTTTACAATTTTTCTAGTTATTAAAACAAAAAACGAACCTTGATAAACCCCATGCCATGTCGGATATCCAGTCAAACGATCTCGTACCGGTTCTATCTTTGAGAGTGTCACCGTAAAGAAACTTAAAATTATCGCTCCTAACACGCCAAACGCGAATATAATCGCAATAAGATGTCCGCATTTTAGATTCATTTTTTGTAATTCGTTAGTTATGAACAAAAATAAATTTTTTATTTTTTAATAAATAATTATAACGGTTAAATAAAATTTTCAAAAATATGCACAAGGGATAATATGTATTTTTTGTCTAAATATTAAATCATTTTAATTTTTTAGAGAATTATATCTTGCCATCATAAATAAAGCAATTTTTTTATTTTAAAAAAAAATCTATCGTGGAATCTTTTATTTTTGGCTCGTTTTTAGCATAACAAAAGAATGCCGAAAAGCTTAACTTTATTTGGAAAGGTATCGTTTATGGTTAGATCAAGATTAGAAGTTTCTATCATTTTTATAGCTTATAGCATTATGGAAAAAAAAAATTTCAAAGCTTGCGCCCCGAAAATGCGGCTTTTATTTTTAAAATACTTACCCAATTCGGCGCGCCCCGAAAATACGGCTTTTATTTTAAAATACTTACCCAATTCTGCGCTGCGCCCCGATAGATAAAAATCATCTTACAATTCTTATTTTTCAAAACTTTATCGATTTGTTCAATATGATTCGATTATACTTTCTTCACAACCTTACAAATTAGGATTCCCCTGTGTACCCTTCAAAATGTCACGAAATTTCACGTGATATATTTTTTGTCACCAGTGTCACGTCCCTCGTTTCATTTTTACTTAGTATTATTGGTAAGTGAAATACTATTTATCACGCCCATATTTGTCAAATAGTTAGTTTCTTAATGCCGTAATGCCGGCCATTTCGTAACATTTTTGGAGGGTACGCAGGAGAAGTCACAAATTAGCTTAGTTATTATAGGACGGTACGATGTCAAATTTCACAAAATTACTGATCTGCATAATCGTACCGTACCGGTTTTCCATATACTCCAAATTCTCACAGGAGCAAATTGAATATCAATCACTCTTTCCGAAAAAAAAAAAAATTTAAAATAAAAAAAAAACCCAAATAATGAAAAATGTATTAACTAGTAATACCCTCTTGAAAAAAATTTTGGAATGTTTAAACGAAGATATGATATCACTTCATTCGTGTTTATTGGTAAATAAAGATTGGAGCGAAATTGCTGTTGAAAAATTATGGAGGGATATATATATAATTCAAGCAAGAGCGAATGAAATTTATGGAATCGATCTAGAAGATGAATCTGATCAAAATATATTATCAACGTTATATTCATGTTTAACAAAAGAATCTCAAGAACTTTTAAAACGAAATGAAATCATGATCGATTCGTCAACGATCGGATCACCAAAATATAATTATCCAAAATATTGTAAATTTCTTGATACAGGATATATCAATCAATTAATTATCGTTCATCTTGGAGAACAAAGTGAAATTATGAAAGTACTTTGTTTGATAAACATTTGATAGATTTCTTTTAATAAAGTCCGTCCCTTCATTACCTTCATTTTCATGATCCACATATTCCTCTTCCTTACTTTTCAGGTGTAAACGTATGTATTACACAACTTAAAGAATTCTCTTGTTATACGAGCATTTCCCATCAATATTTTGTGGAATGGCTCAATTATGTAGAAACATTGACAAACTATTAATTAAATGGGTTAAAGAGGATAATGAAGGGTTGACTAAATTGATAGAAGTGCAAAATAATCTACGACAAGTTGGATTAGAATGTGAGGAACAGGATAACTGGAGGAAGAGATGAAACCTTTCGAATGTGTAAAGATCGGCAACGCATTCACATCACAAGTAAATTCTTTATCACATCTTTATATCAAAAATTCCTTATTTTGTATTCCATTATTATCCATTTCGAAATTAACGAGATTAACCTCCTTGGAGTTAAATTTTGAAGAAATATTTCCGATTGCTCTTTTAGAATCATTATGTTCGATTCATTTCCCAAATCTAACAAAATTATTGATTGGAGAAAATATTCCACCTTTAACATTATTGACAAATTTTATTAAAACAAATGGGAAGACATTAAAAGAATTTTTATTATATAACGGATTTTCTGATGGCGATCCAGATGATTGCACCATATTAAATCAAATGATTAGTAGATTTTGTTCAGAGTTTGAGATACTAATAACATTTTGTCATGATGAACAATTTCACGACATTAAGGATATTTTAATTTCTTGTGAGAAATTGGATAGTTTGATTTTAAGAAATTCCACTCAAGATAAAATTGATGCTACTTATTTATTTACCACCTTATTGGCTATCGCCCCTCAATATAATCTATCTAGAATATGTGTAGATAGCAGTATTCAATTTACATACATCATCTTGAGTTCATTTTTGGATATCATGAACAAGAAGAAACATTTATTATTTCATATTTATAAATCCGGTGGAATTAGATATGTGGGCTATGATGGAATTACCAATGATCATCTTGCCATTATTGAAAAGGTTGGCGGTGGCGTTCTGGACGATATAGATATTATGAATGAATTTTCCACAACTCCACAATTTAGAAATCCTTATAGATATTCATTAGAATAATTGATATCTTTTGTGGAATAATCGTAGCCGCGCTGCGGAAATTGAATAACAAAATTATAATACAAAATGTTAAGGTGTACTATTATTTATATCTACTGCTTCAATCGGTAAAGCCAGGATTATGTACAGGTATGTTGATTCTTTATTAAGCATGTTTCGTATTTCAGATAACAAAGCATATTAATTTCAAATACTCTCTTGATCAACTTCAGTATAAACAATCTTGGCTAATTTGAGAAGAAAAAAAAACTCGAGCCTTGTGAATTCTTACTTTAGACAACATATGTAAACTTGATCAGCATGGTCCAAGTTTAATATGAAATCTAGAACCAAAACAAATAAAAAAATATATATATATATATCGCTAGAGTAGCTGATGATGCTATTACTTGTTTATTGAAGATTGTAAAAACGATGCTTTAGTAGCATATTTAATAAAGAAAACTTCCTTTCCTCTTATTATACCAGCAAATTTTTTAATAGTTGCATTAATATTTATACTGTAAATACTGTATATAAATTTGTCTATAGGAGCATTCATTAAGTTTGTTAATCAACATTCTGCAGCACTTTCTTTTGTTTATAAATGTTGAACTGTATTTATGGGATGTACTCGCACCAAGTTGTTTCCGGCATTGTTTTTTACACAACTTAATTTTATTGCGCACTTTGTATTGATTATTAAACCGCAGTTTGCGATTCAACGACCAACGATGTGATAAACTTTCTTCGTGGATAGAATAATAAACCGAGATTTTTCTTTTGCGTTCATTTTGATTTTCCTGCACATGCACAAGCGCGGTGAATTTATCGCTTAGTTAACGGAAAGATCCAAGTTCCATTTAAAATAATTATTAAAAAAAAAAATTATATATATCTAAGCATATATTTACCGCGTCTAGATCAATAAACATTGTTTTGAAAAATTATATCAAACACGAACTAATACAACATTAACAATTTGAGGCCATTGTGAAAGAAATTAGGACAATTCACGCCATGCCTGACATCTGAACGCAATCACTATTTTGACAGATCCAATAAACAAACCATCATCATTCAATCATTAGATTAATGCAGCGACTGAAAATCAATATTATTCCTGCACTTTCTTATATAAGAGGTATATCATTCATAAATATTATTTTCAATAAAATATTAATATTAAGGTTTTTTATTAAGTTAGGCAATGTAATAATTTATCAAAGCAAGCAATCATAACTAAATATTTTCGAATTCTACGATAGCTTTTTCCCCTCATCAAAAAGACTTATTTCTTGAAAGCTTAATGATCCGATATAGCTTTTGTCCCCTCCAACATCATTATTGTTTCTGACGCCATTTGTCCACTTTTAATCGTTGCTTTTAATCAAATAGTATATAATTTGTAGGAATTCACAAAAAAATAATAAATCGTCATATACAACACTAACCAATAAGACCTTGAATTAAATATTTAATTCAAATGATACAATCATATATAATATTACTACAAGTCATGAATTCCTCCCGGTACAATTTTGATTAAAATCGTACAATAATGTTTAGATTTTTTTCCTACAAGTTTACTTTGAATGCCAAATAATTTATTTTTTATAGTTTAATTTATTCATTTGTAGATACTGTATATTAAATTTTCAAACCATTTTCGGTATTTGTATCCTGACTTTTTATTTTTCAATCCATGATAGTACAATTTCAGTACAAAATCAGGATAATAAATTTTTTCATGGGGATAGGGTTATTGTGCGAATTACTTATTTACAGTATCAGTAATCGAAGAGCACCTGGTATCGATATTAATAATTATAATTAAATGGCAAAACCTTTGCTTGAAATGTGTTACATAAGATATATGAATACTTTTTAAATCATTCGAACTTGAATTTTTTTGTCTATTTCCCGATATTACTCTTAATATTATTATTTTTAAAATATGGATCAATATCACGATGTATTTTATTTTGACAATTTTACTGATAAAAATGCTTGAGAAATATTTCTTTGATAATATGTTCGATCATGACTCGAGCTACCATATGAATTGATAATTACGAACAAGTAAATCATATGACCCATAACGATATTTTAATAACGTACCACCATATAATAAAAATCGAAATAAATTTGGTTTAACCCTAATATTAATGTTAGTTATTTTTTTATAATCGGTTATTATTAACTTTTGGTAAACCGAACTTGGTTTAACCGTTACACTAATTTTGAATATTCTCATTTTTCGTATTACAAATCTACTTGGATGATTAATACAGCTTTGTGTAGATTTCCGCATTTTATATTAAGCATAGGAAAAGTAATTTTAAATAAAAACATCTCTATCAGTAGCTCACAAAATCCCTTTTTTAACAAAATTACCTTTTTAACAACCTGGCTAGACTACTTACCAAAGTGCAAACAGGATCCAAGAGACGTAGCATTTTAGTGGGTAATAGTTTATTTTCATTACATTGGTTATCAATTTTGCAAATTACTTTGCTGATGAAGAAAATTCAAACTTCCATAATCATTCTAAATATTACCCATTTCATGGTACAATTTCCCTTATTTTGACAAATGTAGAAAGTGATGGACTGAGTAAAACTTAAGTGATTTCCTTGTTGGGACCACTTTATTAACTGAAGTAATTATTCAACTTGCAATATCATCCTATTTTGTTAATGTGAAAATATCGGTTTTCAATTATATAATTCTATATATTTATGCAATATTCATATTATTTATGATTTTAACTGTGAATATATCATGAAAGGAGAGGTAATATAGAATAATGTTATTTCAAACAATGCCCCATATGAAGATATAAAGATTGTTCTTATACAGTACTTTGTAATGATATCTAAAAGATAATATAATTTATTAATTAACATTATACATATATAGATTCAATTTTTCGCACTATAAATTTTCTAAAAGAGGTTCGCATTGAAATATGTAATTAAAAGCAGGAGGAATTTGCTTGGATCAATCAATGTCTTAAATACCAAGACAATTTTTAATAAAATTCATCTTGGTATAACACTGAAGAAGTAAATATCGAAGTAATGATTTTATAATTTGATGTTTAAAATTCGTTTATTAATAAAGTCATTTTCGTGGATAAAGGGTCTGGTCACTTCATTGCAAATGTTCAATCTTCTAACTGCGATAGTTTTCCAAGACATAAAAAATATATACTTAAAAATATCTTTGACTTTTTATTTTTATTTTTAATAACCATATCAGGAAATACAAAAATTAAAAATAAAAATAAAACGGAAAAAAAAAGAAAAAAAAAAAAAAATAGAAAACTTTATTTTTATCTTTATTTTAAAGTTGAAAAAACTTTTCTTTATCAAACTCTCTTAAATAACAAACCATAATATTTTAAATATTCTAATTTTCACAAAAAAAAAAGTGATTTTGTTTTTTCGCTTTTTTTTTTTGACGTCTCATTTCAAACCATGCCTCTCTAAAATTCATAATAATTTATTGTCGCAACTGCGGAACAATCAATCAATTGTAACCTGAACGATCACAATTTCAAACTTCAAAATAAATTAACAATGACAGCTTCACGACCAATTACCGCTCGACATAGTCAGCCAAATCAATCAAGCAATATACTTGCATGTCAACGTTATCGACAGGGTAAATAAAATGTGATGGTGACGCCAAATCTGGAAAACCCTGCAGCAACAGCGACCCTTAACACATTGCAAATATGATAACTCGTCTCGCAAGAACAAACAGGATGAGTTGTTAAAACACTGCCTCATTGAATTCGAGTTCAGTAGGAATCAATCACGCGTGAATTGATGAAAAACTGACAATAAAGGAATTGGGGAAAGAAATCCTCTGCATATTGTATGAATCCAAGAACATTTCAACTCTCCAGAGCTTTTACAGCTTTTCAATGAGTTTAAGGACGCAATTAGATTAGGTTAATGCATAAAGTCATCACCTATAAGCCTATTAACAAGCTCCCTGATCCAAAGAATATTGATTACATTCCGAACATAATGCAAAGTTTACAACGATTTGTCGATTGTGCTAATTCGTATGAGAAGGACGCATCTATTTCAACGACATCGTCTTTCAACGAGCCCATGAACAGGATTGAAGAAATGTTCAGTCGGGAGTTCAAACATTTGCTAGCCACCTACCGGTGGTCTCGTCGATAATACCGATTCCTTTTCCAATCACATGATACAGAAGTTCAGGTTGATATTCCCCTTAATTCGCATTCATCTTCTGATAAATCAGAGGTCGCTTCTGGAATGTACGAAGAAGTAATGGAAGTCCGTCCACACCATAAAAACAGCAACAACAACAACAACAGCAACTGATCCTTCCTGAATTAAAGTGTTTTCACGGAGCAAATAATGTATCGCATCATGTGAATCAATCGTTAATCATGATGACGTCAGCTCCCGTATATTCTGGCTTCCCATTAACCACTTACTCATACTACAATCCTTATGATCATTATTTGCCAATAGATGAAACGAACGATGTTAGTTTCGGCAACTTTAGTAACTGATAAGTGGCGATATCGGGATTCATTTAGGTTGGTACATATATATTTTATAAATCATAAACATTTTAAATTCAAAATCATAGCTTTTTATTTTTCATTATATTTTTATTTATCATCCCAATTCATGTTATATTAAAAAAGTCTTTTTTTTTCATTTACACAAAAAAAACACTACACTTATTTCCTCCTCTCTTCTAAAAAGAATTTGAATTCTCTTTATATTTATTTTAAATATTATGATTTTTTTTAAACAATCTTTGTGAACTTTTTCATTATGTATTATATATTATATATTAAATTTTAAATTTTTACATTTTATTTTGTAAGAAAGAGAAGCAGTGTATCTATGGATTATATAAACTGACACATCCTTAAATCTTTTTTTTTTTTGGGTGGAATTCTCATCTTATGAACTTTTCTTTCTTAATGGTTGTTTTTTTTTTAAAAAGAAAAATTTTTCTCCAAAATAATGAATGTGTAACCTGTAGTTTTTATGCTTGTTTAATGATAATTATAATTGATAAAAGTGATAAAAGGCGACAAAGTAAATTAGTTTTGCTTTTTTTTTTTTCAGAGCTATGCAATTATCTTTTAGAAAGTCATCTAGAAACAAAAACAAACAATACTAAAATTTGATAACTGTATAAAGGTTATGCAAACGGATTATGCCGCCAAAAGTTTTTTTTCATGTGTAGCTGTGGGCAGATTCTCTTCTCTAGATGATTAATTACAATGAATAAAATATTTGTAAAAGGCGGTGGTTGTTTATGATTATTGTTGTGCATGAGAAAGTTGGGAGTGTGGCTTTTACCAAAAAATACTTAATTCTTTTTTTTTTTTTTTTATTTTGTTAATTGTATACGATAATACAATACGCTTCTATAAAATTTTTCAAATCCAAAGAACCATCATACAACATTATAAGGAGGCTTAAAAGGCTCATGGCTTTTTTGTTTTTTGTTTTTGTCACATTTCATCAAAATG